TTGCTTGCGTGCACGCATGCATGCGTCTGGGCGTCGGTGTGCATGTCTGTAGGTACACATGGAGGTATTCATGCATGTATGTATGCAGGCAGGTAGGTCGGTAGGTAGGCAGGCACTATCGTGTATGCTCTCGGTCCCTCAATCCCAAGGCCGAGGACTGTGCATCCGTTGACGGGCCGTTTCACGGCCCTTTCAGCTTCTTCCCGGGCCTCTTGGCACTCACAGGCCAGAGGGTGCGGGGCTTTGGGAGGAAAGCAAAGATTCAAACCCTGATTGGATGTCCCGCTTCCAGGAAACTGGTTGCGCCTCTCTTTCACGCATGGCTTACCTTGCTGTAAGATCCCCAAGTGCCAAGAGCCCCAAAAGGAAGAGCAGAGCCCTTGCAGGTGAAGAGAAATGATTTGCTGATCGAATTGATCATTCTGTACATAATGCTTGGAGATGTCGACCCTTGGCTTTGAGGCTTTGCGATGCAGGGTGTCGGTTAGGGTCAAAGTGTCTCAAAGTTTGAGGGTTTAGTTGAGGGTTTCGGTGATGCTGCTTCGTGTAGATTGGAGGCAAACCGGTTTATTTGCTCGAGCTGGACGTGCACTACTCTATCGGACTGTAGTATATATATATATATATACATACATACATACATATATGTATACCAGAGTGTGCGAGCACTCTTCCGGCGATGCTGAAACCCGCACTATTTACATCGTCCGTAGACTTCAAACCGAACCGGTTGCTCTGTCTTTGCTCGAAGCTGAGGAATCTGCTTGGCGATTGGTGGGCACAGGTCAGCAGAACGCGCCACTTCTTATTCCGCCCAATGCTGTATAACCCTTTTCTTGCTTGCCCAGTATTGTTTGTGGTCTTGCTATGCACGCCGTATACCCAAATCTGACAGGGCGCAATGTTTCATCTGCGACCAGTTGCACGCCTGTGCAGCGTCTAATGCTGATAACGGCATCTCCACTCCCAGGTCGTGGTTGCATCACTCAGGTTCAAAGCTTGGGACGTAGGGACGTGGGAGTCACACAGCGAGGACCTTCGAGTACTGTTTGGTGTACTGCCGGCATTCCTGTGCCTTGTTTATGACGCCATGTTGGCGGCGACACCGGCTTACGCAACTCCAGCTTTGGAAAACTGTATCTGTGAGTGTCGCTAGGCTAATGCTCCAGCCGTGACTTGGGAGAATCTCTTCGTATGCCCCTTGTGCGGGATGTACACATATAACCTTTGTGGCCTGCATGACACCCTTTTGCAGTCGTCTTTAAATATGCACCACCTTTTCTCGCATGCTTGCCTGCTTGCTACAGTGCAACAGGGGATGAACATGCAGCCACTTGAATACGACAAAACATGTTCTCGGTCGAAGAAAGCGCGGCGCTTGGAGTTAGCAAGTGTTTGTTCTGTTGTGAAGCTCAAAGCGTGCCCGCTTGACTGGAACAGACGTATGCTTTGTAGCGAACGGGGTTCCTCCGGTGAACCAGCGAGTTCTGGTCTGGCTTTCTTGGTCTGACTGGCTCTACGTTTCGCCTGTGCTCACAGTTGTTCAATCGACTTTGTGTGTGTATGCATGTCATGCATGCATGTATATGCATTTTATGATTGCATTTGTGTATATAAGAAGCATAACTATATCCACTGTATCTACATCGATATCTTCGTCTGCATCTTCACCTATACCTCTGCCTATACCTGTCTCTCTCTGTCTCTCTGTACGAATACATAACAGATACACATACACACATATACACATGTGTACACATGCAAAAACAGATACATATACATATACACCATTAAGGCCGCTGTGTTTGGCAATCGCCATGTCTGGACCCTGCAGACCGAGCACGCTAAGCAGACACTTTGAACTCGCAGCCGTGGCCGGCCTCGGCCGGTGGTATCCCGAAGAAAATTTGTACACGATCTCTGCAACCAGACTCCGCACTTACTACACTGTTCTTTTCCGGAGCGGTTCTTTTGCTCCTTGATAAGAGTTCGGTCGTTGTCTGATTGCAGAGCGTCGCCTCTGCGTGCCATAGCCAGCAAGTGTCAGTCTGTGGCATGCTTTCGTTCACGGTGTGTAGGACACGTAGGTCAGATCCAGTAGGTTAGGACTGGGATGGGAGCCCAGTCGCCAAAGCTCCAGGCTCGAGGTGTGGTTTCATCGCTAAGCACCTTCCAACCCTCTGGTCGAGCCTGGGGGCACCGAGGGGACTTTGAGGGCTCGGCTACAGTATGCCGTGCTCTCTACAAGCTCTGCCCTCTGGAGACTTCGGAGCTACGAGCTGTGCTGGAGGTTCCACTTCGTCGATCTTGGAGCCCTTCTCTCATTCTCTAGACACCTCGCTTTGATGGTAAGCCCTACGACCAGAAGAGCCTAAGCCCCAACTCAGATCACTTAGGACTGATGTTTTGGACCCTGTCGCCCTAAAACCTAAACTCTGCTCGTCGCTGGAAGTGTCCGCACTGATTTTCCAAGCTGAGTGCCTGACTGACTGGAGACGATGGACCGGCGAGTAGTCGGGTACTATAGGGGCCAAAATAATTACCAACACTATTTTTGGAGGTTCCTGATTATAGTTATAGTATAATGGGCCCAAAACCCTATTCTAATTATTACTGCCCCTATAATAGTAACCAATAACCTCTCCAGTCTGATCTGAGCTGCCGAGCCATCTTCTTGGAGTTGTCTTGAACCCGAGTTCTTGCTTGAGATGATTGGTGTTAGGCGGAGAGGTCTCGAGGATCCCCGATCGGAAGGATGGCTTGGCGCCCTTTGCCCTGCAGGGGAACCGTTTGTAGCATGGGACAGCTTGGCAGTGATGGCTGGGACGAGTGCATGAGCGGGGTCCAAGTGTCGTGTTGGCACTTGGATCCCGTGAATGATCCTCACATCACAAAGTGTGTGAGGCTGTCGCATATGACGACCTTGGCACGTCCCTCCCACTGACATCTCGGCCAGTGATGAGACCGACAAGTGTGACTCATGTGCTCTCAGCCAGAAGCAGCCCAGCCGTTTGGGTTGATCGCTGTTCATTCGCCTTCCCGCCGGCTGGGCTGACATCTGTGGCCCGTAAGGAAGCCTCCATCCCTGTTCGAAAACGTTTCCCAGCTGCACTTTAGGGCTGTTGCCTCGCTGGACATCCTGTCTCTTCTCATCGCTTGTCTTCTAGGCCGTCTAGGCATCAAGCAATCCCTGCCACGAGGAGGACCCCAAAGCAGAAACATGTCCTTGCGAGTGATTTCAAAGCCTTAGATCGCAGCTGGGTCTTTTTCGCAGGGCGCCGATGCTTCGCACCCAAAGACGCTGCGAGCCCAAAGCAGACGCAGCTCCTTCCCATGGATCCTGGCCGAAACAGGAAACATCTCCGAACCCAGCTGGCTCTTCCAGGGTCCACTCGAAGGAGACGGGGGAAGCCCCAACACGAGGGACTGCGAGGCAAGGTCCGGGCCTCACGATGCTAACATCTCATTGAGTGTCATACTAATCACTAATCATTCTCCAGGATTTGTTGCAGAGTCCGAGAACCGGCGGTGGTGCTCCTCGTCGCGGTGGGAGGAGAGGAGGCGCAGTAGCAGTAGTAGTAGTAGTAGTAGTAGTAGTAGTAGTAGTAGTAGTAGTAGTAGTAGTAGTAGTAGTAGTAGTAGTAGTAGTAGGAGTAGTAGCAGTATGAGGAGTAGTAGCAGTAACCGCCAGTAGCAGCAGCCAGTAGCATCAGCAGTAGGAGTAGAACAGGCATCATACTTGTTGGGTGAATCATGTAGTTGCCGAGGCTTCCGTGCCAGGCTCAGCAGTCCAACGTCTGGACTTCCTGGATGTTGAAGTCCCTGGGAATCGTCCAAGTTTCCAAGGAAAAATCAAGCCGCGGTGTTCACAAAGAGAAGAGCATGGCCACAGCGATTTCAATGCTCGAACACCTTGAGGTTCCTTTCTGACCAGGGGCTTTCGTGTACAGTGTACAGCCCAAGGTTTCGAAGTGCCACGCGAGGTCATGACGGAAGCAGGAGCGACGGTTAGATGCAGATGATTTCCCATGACCCCGGGCAGCTTCACTGGTGACTCTGACGAGGAAGACAAATCCAGTCCTCGGAAACAAGAGTCTTGTGCTCGTGGTAGGGGGTGTTGTTAGTCAGTTATGTTGTCAGCAGCATAGCAGCATATCCAAGTATCAGCATCTATGTGAGCAGAATCGTACTGCTGCTTCTGTTACTGGTGTTGCTGCTACTTAGTGGTGGTGCCAGTTCTGCTACTGCAATGACGACGACGACGTCTACTAACTACTACTACTACTACTACTACTACTACTACTACTACTACTACTACTACTACTACTACTACTACTACTACTACTACTACTACTACTACTACTACTCCTACACCTACTCCTACTCCTACTCCTACTCCTACTCCTACTCCTATTCCTATTCCTACTCCTACTCCTACTCCTACTCCTACTGCTACTGCTACTGCCACTGCCACTGCCACTGCCACTGCCACTGCCACTGCCACTGCCACTGCCACTGCCACTGCCACTGCTACTGCTACTGCCGCTGCTGCTGCTGCTGTTAGGGAAATGTGTTTTGACCCAAGGTCCCACGTCATCAGGCTCCGAGCCCCATGGATGACAGTGATCAGGGTGATGCATTCACAGCCCCAGGCGGAGCCCAAGCAACAGCACCAGCCGACCAGCAAAAGCCAGAACGACAGCGATGATCATCTTGTGATGCTCAGGGCCCGAACCGTTGTCTTCTTGTTCTTCAAAGGACGATCGTGCCGGATGACATGGCACATGACACGTGTAAGGTCCGGCTTAAAGGTGCGGCTGTTATTCGTGCAAGCTGTGTAGCGCTTCGCACACACCAGCCCGTTGGGTCCATCCTACCTCTACCAATCACAGCACTTGAGCACAAAGCCTGCAGCCAGACTAAGCTCACCGACAACACCAGTACAAAAAGTATCAACACCAAGCAGAAAGAGCCAACGGCTTCAAGATCCTTTCGCCACCATGGCTGGAGAAACTGAGGCCATCCTGTTTTGCCGGGAGGGGGCCAGGGGAGTTCTCCGCATAACCCTTGTGAATCACTACAAAAACCTTGTGAAACCTTGCAGAGAAATTAGTGATCGGGATTTCGCGACATTCCCGTGCAGGCGGCTGTGGTCGGCAAGGATGCGGCCGAGGGCGAGTTCGAGGTGCCCTTTCATAGCCCAAAGGGCCTTTTGACAACAACTTGTTATTATGCGGGTTTAAAGGAGGGGCCTTCAGGGTCTCGGGCTTCAGGGCTTTCGGGTATAGGAGCTCCAGGGTTTCGGGGTTAGCATGGGGTTTAGGACCAACCCCCTGGTGTTGGGGTTTCGGGTTCAGGCTTTACGGGTCGATTCAAACATGACGCTCCAAGCTTCAGTGTCACTGTACGGACAGCGGCATTTACCACCAGAACCATGACCATGAACGCAGATCGGCATTGTCCTTCTGATCACTTCCTGAACCCTAAACCCGAAACTTTTGGTATCTGGGAGAGTTTCCGAAAATACGGGACCCTAATATTACATCCTGAATAGTAGGATCCTTGTTGTTACAAGGACCCCAAGATAAGGTTAAACTCCCATCTCAGCACTGCTGCAACCATGCTGCCCTAAACCCTTAACCCTAAACCCCTAAACCCCCAAACCCGAAACCCCTAAAGCCAAAACCCCTAAACCCTCAACCCTAAACCCCTAAACCCTAAACCCCTCAACCCTAAACCCTAAACCTCTAAACCCCTAAACCCTGCAACCTTGCTGCCCTTTGCCAGGCTTCTGCTTTTGAGGCGCTGGAGCGGGACTTCCAGGACTTCTGCCTTCTCTGCGCATTTTGAGGGGTTTGGGGTTTAGGGTTCAGGGGTTCAGGGGTTTAGGGTTTAGGGGTTTAGGGGTATGTAGGGTTTAGGGGGATGTAGAGTTCAAGTTTTGTAGTCTGGGCTTCCTGGTTTGGGAGCATAGGGTAGCAAGTCCGGGTTTCAAGAGACCTTTGTTAAGCGCCTGGTTGGAAGGGTTTAGGGCCGAGCTTGCAAAGCGCCTTTTCGGCAAGGAGTAGAGTTTAACTTGGGCCTCTATTATATGCTGGAGACAGCGTTGTGAACGAATCAGAAATGGAATGCGCAAAGCTTCTTCTGTACCGTGTATCAAGTGGGTTCCATAGCAACACCGTGAGTTCAGGGAGCCGCAGCTTGAAGCAACGTCCCAGGAAATCCTCCAAGAACTCGTGGGGGACAAGTCCCTGGAACACTTCCGAAACGAGTGCCCACTTCAGGGATGGCAGTTTGGGGTTCACTCCCCCATCTCCTGAACCCCAAACCCAAAACCCTAACTCTGACCCTGAAATCCTGAACCCTAGCGTCGACTTAGGCTTTTTTGCTTTTCATCAGTGGCCCATGCCATCGGAGTGGATAGAGGATTTTGTCTACGCCCTAGTCTTGGTTTGAGAGATTCGTCTTGGGTTGAGCAATGTGGAGACGTCTCACATGAAGAGGAATGAAGCTCAGCCTCTGCTCTGCTTGCCAGTACACTTCGGGACCTAAGGAATTGTGTTATGTTGCATTTAAACGGTGACGCTGCAGCTTCGGGCATGTCTTGCAGACATTTTACTCGGTCTTGATGTTGTAGATACATGTTTCGTGCATATCTTAGATACCTTGGTTCACAGATATGTAGATACGTCGATGGTGCGTATACGGATGCCACCATAGCAGCAGGTATGTCATGTGAAGTGAGTACCAAGGTGGCAACCAAACTCAAGCACGTTCGAGATCTTCATGCGCTTAGGCCCATGCAAACGGTAGACGTGGAAGAGGCTTCCATTACACTCCTCGCAATAAGCGGCCTCCAAGACCGATAGCCTAATGAAGCTCTATTCCGGAGAGGTAATCTGTCTACGCGTGCCCCCAGGCCCCAATTGTTCGACTGCTTCTGTTGTCTTTCGTTACTCTGTCGCAGGTACGAGAAGCTGCACCGCGCATTAAAGAAGTCGCACGAAAGCGAGCCCCTTGCCCAGACCGGTCATGAACTGGGGGGCTCATAGGGTCTGTAAGGTACTTTTTTGTTTCCGGGCTTTTGTTGATTTTGGCTTTACAGTAGTTGTTAGCAAGCGAACCTCTTGAAGTCTTGGTACGACGGCTTGGCAGTAGTGATATTGCGCATGGTGTCTATCGGAATCTGCCGATAGCAACGAAGTTCCGGTGGCTTCGGCCTGGCTTTCTGACTCAAACTTCTGGGTTTGCCGGTGTTCGCGGTAGGCCCGCACGGTCGGCTTTGAGAGTGATCTGCTCACTCAGGAAGCATCTCATCAAAAAGTGCAGGGAGCTGAACGCTGAAATTGTGCAAAATGCGGTGAAGGCAGGATGCAATAGTTTTGTGTTGTCACGTCTCTTGTTCGGAGCGGATGCACGGCTCACTTCTTTTCGCTCCGTGCAAGCTTCCTGAAGCCTTGCATAATGTGCGCATTGCCGCGGCTCGAGTTCTGCGCTTTGCGTGCCCGTGTGCCACTGTGTGCCCTTTTCACTTCAGCGCCCTTTGTCTCTCCAGCCTCGAGGACTGCAGTATGACCTCGGCCGAGAAGACACGTGTGGCGCTCGTGGGCCTGGGCCGCGCTCCACTTCCACCTGCAGTCCGTGGTGCAGTCCTGGGTGACATCGACGAGAAGAAGGCCCAGTTGCAGCAGAACAGGGCCTGGGCCGCTGGTCCACAGAGCTGGGAGGCGCTCGCCGACGTGGATTCAGTGATCATCGCCTCGGCGACGGACACGCACTTTCCCTACATCATGGAGTCCCTGCGGGCCAACAAAGCCGTCCTGGCGGAGAAGCCCATCTCTCACGAGCTGCACGAGGTGGTCGAAGCAGTGGAGCTGGCAAAAAGTCGGAACCTTACCTTCGTCTGTGGCTACCAGCGCCGAGCAGATCGCCACTTCCGAGCGCTGAAGCAACAACTGGACGCCGGTGCAGTGGGCAAGATGAAGTTGGTGAAGACCTGCAGCCGCGACAACCCACTCCCGCCATTGGAGTACCTTCGCACCAGTGGTGGTATCTTCCACGATATGCTGATTCACGACTTCGACATGCTCGACTTCTTGAGCAACGGCGAGGCGCCAGAATCGGTAACGGCTATCGGGCATTGCTACAACTCTGAAATCCAAGAGATGAATGACATCGACACTTGTGCAGTTATGTTCAAGTACGCCAACGGCATGATGGCCATGGTTGACACCAGCCGCGATGCATCTTATGGCTACGACCAGCGCATCGAGGTCTTCGGGGAGAAGGGGATGTTGACAGCCACCAACGAGCTGACCAGCACGGTGGAGTTGGCCACCAGCGCCGGACACCTGCGACCACCGGCCATGTACAGCTTCCCTCAGCGATACCTCCAGGCATACCGATCCGAGCTCACGGAGTTCATCGAGCTCGTGCGCGCCGGAAGCGACAGCGAGGCGCATGCCATGGAGCAGGTCGCCATGCTCCGGCATCCTGGCGTGGTCCGTGCGACCAGGGCTGCAGAGCTCTCGTGGAAGCTTGGGCGCACGGTGCAGCTTGCAGAGGTGGGCATGCACTCCTCCGAATCCGTGCCCGGGAAGATGGAGGCGAAGAACATGTTCGGCGACAGCTTCCGGAACTATGAGAACTCTGAGCGCCAGGAGAAGGTTGCGGCCACTTACGGCCTCATGCACCAGAATCAGACTGTCGAGTTCGTGCGCGAGCAGCGGGAGAAGTGGATGAAGTTCAACAAGGGAGAGTTCACGGTGATGGAGGTGATTTCCATGCTGGACGACTTGGTAGACGACTCGGACCCCGATGTGGACATCCCTAACAGCATTCATGACTTCCAGACTGCCGAGCGCATTCGCGAGCAGTGGCCAGGGGAGGAGTTTGACTGGTTCCACCTCGTCGGACTCTTGCATGATTTGGGCAAGGTCATGGCACTGCCGAGGATGGCAGGAAAGGAGACTTTGCCACAGTGGGCCGTCGTGGGGGACACCTTCCCGGTCGGCTGCGCGCCCGCGGAGGATGCGGTCGTTTCCCCGGAGGCCTTCCGTGAGAATCCGGACTACCGCCATCCTGTCTTCGGCACGAAGAACGGCATTTACCAGCCCGGTTGCGGCATCAGCAAGCTGATGTTCTCCTGGGGCCATGATGAGTACATGTACCAGATGCTGAAGTTCAACGGCTGCACCATCCCCGAGCAAGGACTGAACATGATCCGTCTCCACTCCTTCTATCCCTGGCATGATAAGGGGGCTTATAGCCACTTCGAGAGCCCCGAGGATGCAGAGACGAAGAAGTGGGTGAAGGAGTTCAACAAATTCGACTTGTACTCCAAGGCCGATGCCGTGCCAAATGTGGAGAAACTGAAGCCTTACTATGCGTCCCTCTTGAAGAAGTACAAGCTCGATGGCAAGCTCCGCTGGTGAGCGTGAGTTGGGAAGGTGCCACGGGGAGCTGTGATCATTGTTCAGTTGGGCTTTGTTGGAGGGGTTTAGAGGTAGCAGAGGTGGCTGGGGGACTATACGTACATGTGACATGAAGCTTCCACTTCAGAACTCGCCAGGGATCCCCGGTGCCTCACTCAGTGCGCGCGATTCACGCAGTGTGACTGCGCGAAGTGAGATCGGCCTGTCATGCGGTGAATCGCGCAAGCACTCGAATTTGTCTTTCGCCATGGAGCGGAGCCTCCTGCTGTAAGCTGCATGTCTGCAATCCGAATTCTTGATGCGCCTGTTTGCACGATTTTGCAGATGACGATCCCAGCTTGCCGCCCGCAAGCCTCTTGCGGTCGCATGGCGGCAGGGGTCCATATTCGAGCTGGTGGTGGCAAGTTCCTGTGCCTTGCGCTCTCAAAGCTCTCAATTCGAAATTCGGACACTGGCAATTCGCAAGGCCTGCTGTAGGCTTGACCGATATCCAATGTTCTATCGCAAGGGCCACGCATCCGCTGCAATCACTACACTGCCTTTGACAGGATGAGGGAGCGATGGATGCCAATGATGTGAGCCCATCCGTTCCGAAAGTTCAGCCCCTTTTGGAGCATGACTCTTGGAGAAACCGAGCAAAAGTGGAGCCGCAGCAGTGGTGAGGTCTTGCATTTGCAGGCACAGCTTCCCGCCAGGGTGTCCTGAGTCGTGATTGTCCTGGAAGGTGCAGACTGCGCTCAAGCTTTCGCAGGTGGGGTTGTGTCCGTGATGAGTTGATTCAACTGCACCTACTGCAATACAAACCGCGGAACCTAGGTCCTTAGAAAGCCTATTCACCTCGGGATTTCGATCCATCAATGCGCTCCGTGTGCTTGCGCGCATCTTCCTCGCAGGGTCCCGTCTCCTGCGCTCACACAGGGCTGGGGTCCCGAAAGTTTTGGGTCAGGTCTACGGAAACCCAATGCAAAGCGCCAGCTTCCGAAGAAGGAGCCACTCGAGAATCGGCCGATGCCCTTTCCAGGAAGACCAGCAGACGATCACGGCGCTCAAGAAAGAGATCGAGCGCGCGTGGAAGATGGTCGAGGTCGCGCTGGTTCTTAGTGTGTAGGGTTCAGGGTTCAGGATCGTGAGGGTTCAGGCTTAGGGTGGAAGGGCTTTGGAATCACCGTAGAAGGAGGGATCAGGTCGTTTGTCCTGGTCAATCGGGGAGTTCTGTGGGATGCTCTTGAAATTGTTCGACCCTTGAGCTGTGTTTGTTCGAATCACCGGATGCCTAAGGCCTCCCACGAGAAAGAGCAGCGAGCCAGGGAAACGATCCAGAACCTGACCCTTGGCGCTGTAGGGCGGAGTTTCAGGGTGCATGGGTCCTTACGGTCATCACTACACTTTCGCTCATAATGATCATGACTGTTATTACGACAGTGATGACGGTGATGATTGGTGATGGTGGTGATGGTGATTGTGATGCTCGTCGTATGAAGGTTTCAGCGTTCTATCCAAGCAGCCGAGGAAGTCGGAGATTACGAAGCTGGGCCGACTTGTAGAACAAGGCCGGGCGAGGCTAACAGGGTGAAGGTGCACTACGCCCAGCGTGTCTTCGGACCTTCTGGGTAGATGCACAGCATTGGTAGCAGCAGTAGCAGCAGCAGTAGCAGACGCAGCGGTGGCAGTAGCAGTAACAGTAGCAGCAGGACTAGCAGCACCAGTAGCAGGAGGAATACAAGAAGAGAACAAATAACCTTGGTGATAGTAACGACTGCAGCACGATAAATCAAGTATACCAAGACGTCGGAACTGGGACCTGTTCTCGAGGTGCTGGGTTGAGTATCAACCAGGAGAACATGGTGAACCAGCTGGTTCAGGACCATAGTGGTTTGCCGACACTGAATTCAGCTCGTCCCCTCCGATGCTTTGTTGGGCACTGTTTGCTGTCCGTGGAGGTGCCCAGGCTCTCTTTTTAGTAATTTGTTGGCAGGAGAAGAACGACCTTGTGAAGCATCGCGACATGCTTCAGGGCCAGGCAGGTTTCGGCTGCAGGGTCTTGGCTTCGTCACTTCGATTCTTGTTTGAGGCTGCTGCCATCAAACATCTATTGCTCGTACCCTGCTTTTGCTTCTGCTACGACCGCGACGGCCACTAGACGCCACGACCACTAGCACTACCACGACTGTGACCTTGACAATTGCTGCTACCGCCATTACTGCTGCTACTGCTACTCTTCCTCCTCCTCTACGTACATCTGCTGCTGCCACCACTAGCACTACCACTAGTTCGACCAGGTGTAGTGGTTGTTTGCAAGGTGGAGTTCAGCCTAAAGCACATGATGCCACACTACGGAGGGAAATCTGTGAGGTCCAGCAGATGCAGCAGCAGAACACCGACCTTACTGCAAAGGTTGCGAAGCTGGAGCAGGACTCTAGTCATGGGTCTTGCAATGCAGGTAGCAGCGGCAGAAATACGAATAATGCTAGCAAGTTTAACACTGGGTGGAGGAGTAGCAATGAGCTACCGCTGATTCGAACCTGGCTTATCTCTCAACCTGCTCGAGGCCCCGATGTCTGAACAATGAACAGCTGTCCGAAACCCCCATCCTGGAGCGAATTTCCCCTGCCTTGCCAAGAAGGGTTCTTGTTTGTTTGAGGCAAGGAATATCCTTGACTTTAGCGAAGTTGACTACAAGGGTTTCGAGAACTCAGAACAGCTGTCTGTTATCTACCCTAGAGTAGTGTGGCAGGAAAACTGCAGGACTTCAGTTTTCGTAGTTCACCACGCCTGTCTCCTGGAGCAGTCGCCACGAGGACCGGCAGCAGGGTAACGGCGAGCTCCAATCCTTGCGCGAAGCCTTCCAGAAGCTTCTCGAGGCACCTTTGGTCCAAGTAGGCGCCGGGTGTAATGAAGGGTGCCTGACAGGCGCTGATACCAAGCGGCCTTCGTAACTTCATTCGGGATTTAGGATGTGCAGTGATGAAGTGAGTCGTGCAGCGAACTCGATCCGGGATGAAAGGCGTAGGTCAGGAGAGATGGTCGAGCGGCCGAGTTTGTACATCACACTGTGAGTATAGTAGCAGTTAGTAGCATCAGGAGTAGTAGTAGTAGCAGCAGGAGTAGTAGTAGTAGTAGCAGTAGTAGTGATACTTATTTTTTATTAGTAAGTTTCGGAAGTAGGAGGCCGCAGCCATGCGCAAATGCCAGCAAGAGCAGCCTGAGCGCAGCTTTCCAAAACGCAAAACTGTGGTCACAGTATCAGGTCGGATGAAGCAGCAATAGTGCTGATGCAGCGTACAGCAAGACTGCAGCGCAGCAGCAGCAGCCGGCATTTCCGTGCTTGTGCAGGTCGGTACCCTTAGTCGCCGTAGTTGCAGCTGCAGAAGTTGTGGTACGCTTCTTCGTGATCGAGCAAAGTCGTCGTCGTAGCAGTGGTAGAGAGGGTATTGACAATCGTAGCAGTGGTAGAGAAGGTGTTGACAATCTAGTGCGCAATGGCCTTAAGCAGCAGCACCAACAGAGAAATTCTTCAGTTGAGGCGGAGGGTTGCTTGGTGAAGTGTGCTGTGCTTCTGAGGAGGCGGACCAGCAGCAGAAGCGAAAGGAAAAGCTAGACAAGGACTGCTCCAGCCAAAGAGAGTGCAGTCTAGCTGGTGAGCCCACTGCACCAATTTTGACACCAAGCCCGAATATGACTGACGATCTCAGCATTCAAGCCCTGAATCAACCCTTAACCCTGATCCCGATTTGTAGGCAACAGCTGAAACAGCGCAATCACACCGAAGCATGCGTGCTGTTGAGGTAAGGATGCCCAGCCGAACTTCTGGATGACCGAAATCAATAACAGGAGCTGGCGAGCAGTACATCCAATGGTTCGATCGACCCGGTACTTCCCAAACTTACGAACCTGCCAAATCCATCGCTCAAGTGGTAGTTGCAACAAGCGTGCCTCAAACATCACTAGTGTCCTCATGAGGTTCCACTTTCCGGAACATAAGCTGATAACCGTCACATCCCTGGACAACAAATAGGACACGACGCCAACACCTAGATGCCCTAAATACCCTCAGAGCCCGAGAAGCCCGCAAAAACCCGGCAGAAACGGCTCAGGACCTCAAGGACATGAGACAAGGCAAAGAGCTCAGGCTCCCGATCGCAAGTCCTTGGAGGTAGGATGGGGTTTAGGGCAGGGCTTTAGCGTGTTAACGAACTTGAGGTGTTAGTGTTTGGGGTCTAGGGCTTCAGTCCTACTTGTCGAGTGAAGCATGGCGATCATTGACTGCTTGTGGCCGGGCTCTTGCTGAAGATCATGACGCCGTCTCGTTTTGGTTTGAGTTCCCCCCCAGCTGCTCGTGACGGCATGGTTGGAAGAAGGCCCCTATCCTCAACCGGTTCCTTACAATGCTTGACGTGTCGGCCCACCCTTGCCTGGGTCGCTTAAGAATCCCTCTAAAGCCGACATAAGCCGACACCTTAAACGTAACCGGTTGAAACCTAAAGACTCGACCCCCTGAGCGCCAAGCCTGCAAGCCCTAAACCCATTAAACCCCAAGCCCTAGGTCTTGAGTCCAAACAGAGCGAAGTGAACGCCCGGCGAGAAGAACTTGCCCACGGCGAGGTGCCTTGGGGTTGCTTGGGTTTTCTGGGGTTGCCAGGGTTTTTGGGCATTTGGGGGTTTGGGCTTGGGGTTTAGAGTTTGGTGTCTTCCTGCAGCAAATTAGCACCCAGGACATCGATTACATCTGCTTGCTGCTTTTCGCGGTCTCGGCAAGGATTCCTGCTTGGTGTTCTTCATCGTTCCGGCTGGCAGGAGAAGCAAAAGCACTTGACGCGGCTCCTGCGGGAAGAGCGGCAGGAGGTCCACGTGCTCCCATGTCTCATCAGTGTCAACCCAATTACCAGAGCTCGATGTTTTCGAAAAGGGTCTTTGCAAAGTCAGAGTCATGATGTCTTGATACTTGTCGCAACAAGCCTGGCAGCGCTCATGCCCCAGTACAGCTTCTGCCGCTTTTCTAGCACATTTGGTTCGTATGTTCTCTCACATCAGGGTTTGTTACTGCCAAAAAACGGCACGTTTGCCGCGGAAAGCAGCTTCCCTCAGAGGCCTCTAATCAACATGGGTTTGCTGTAGAGGAACTTACAGCTTCGAAGGCATCGTCAGGGGATATCTGTATCTAAGGCATAGTTCCTGATTGCATCTGGGTTCGCAAGAAAACCCCCCCCCCCCCCGCTGGATGCACAAGCCTGGCAACAGGAAGAGCGGCTGAGCATGCGAGCTGCCCAGCTCAAGGGCAACTATGAGCACCTCGTGAAGCAGCACAAAGAGGACGCCGGAGTAGGAATCCCTAACCCTAAGCCCTATACCCTGACAGATGTTCAGCTCTGGCTAGCCTTCGAAGCCCCTCAAGCAGCCTAAATCCTTCAAATTCCCTACCGAAAACTCGAAAGCCCTCCACCCAACACCCCGAAACCCCCAACTTGCAGACAAACTCCACGCCCCAAACTCCTAGCAGCTTCCCAGGAGCAGTCGACGCTGGCACGGCTCAAGGACGAACAGGCCGGGGGTGTTTGTGGTGGTGGATCTTGAACCGACCGCCGGGCCTTTGGGGGCCCTCTATCTGGTGTTTGGAGGGGTTGAGGGGGTTTCGCTCTGCGGTTTCAGGGTTTTGCGGAATTATAGAGAGCGATTCTGGCCTTGCACTTGCCCATAGAAGGCGTGCTCTGCTCGAAATCTTTTTTTTGTATCTTTGAACCAAAGCAAAGCAAGTTGGATTGAGCCCCAATACCTCGGCTTCTCCTCCAACGCCCGCAATCTTGAATCCGGGACTTCCTAAACCCACAGATGTAGGGCTTAGGGTTTGTTTAGGGTTTAGGAACCCTGCACCCTAAGCCCTCCATCCTAAGCCCCACCCATTGCTCCCGAGACTCGAAAGCCGACTCCCAGGCAGACTACAAGGCGAAGGTGAAGTTCCGACAGGCCCGGCGGATGCTCTCAGCCCTGGGTGTAGGATGGTTACTATAATGAGGTGATTATAGGATGAGGGATACCGTAAGAAGGGTTTCCAGAATGATCAGGTTGCATGATAAGTCATACAAAAATGGCCGATACTATAACATGGTTAATGTATGATAAGAGATATTATATTAAGGGAGACTATAGTACTATAGCAAAAGTTTGCCTTGTGTCACAGACCAAGGAATTCGTTGCTTTGTTTCAGAGTTTGGGGCCTGGGATTCTCGGCGCGCAGCTGTGTTTTCCAGAGTTCAAGAGAGGCCAGGACCCTTGCTAAACACGAAGCCAAAAAGACGTACACCAGACCCACCCTAAACCCACAACCCCAACACCCAAACCTTAGAGCCAATTTAGCCCAAATCCCCTAAACTCTAAGCGCTGAAACTGGAACAACTTTGCGTCTTCTTTCAACCTGCCGACGGCTGCGGAGGACGAAATCCACGCGCTGAAGAGCTCCAAGCAGAAGATGGAGAAGAGTCTTGAGGCCTGAGTGCTTTTAGGGGTTGACTTGGGCTGTCTCTCGGTTTATCGGGCTTATAGGGCTTATAAGGTAGTTATAGGGTTTAGATGGTTTACAGGATTAAGGGTTTCCTCAGGGCCTCGTTAGGGGTTGCCTTGCGTTTTTTGTGTGAGGTTTTGTAGAGTAAGGCCATGACGTCCGTGCAAAGGCTGATTCAACTCGCTCAGAGCTTTCCGTGAAGAGACGCATTCGCCTAAGCCTAAGCAGAATGCCGGACTGAAGCAAAAAACACCCCAAGCATGCAGAAACTCATTGCACACACTCGTTTCCGAGTATCGAGGAGTCATGAACGCACAGCCCCGAGGCGCTGCAGAGCCTGAAGGACAAAGACGATGCCGAGTCGAGACGCCTGGAGGAGACTCTGATGCATTACTACTGAGGTACTCATCTTGGGGAAGTGTAGAAGTCGGAACGTACATTCCTACAATCTCGCTCTATACTCCGAAGGCCTGTTCTCATCACTCAGGCCCCGCATTACTTTGCAAGGCTCCTAAAGCTCCGGCAATGAAGAGTCCTCGGACAATCGTGGTTGCCGATGTCCAGCTCGTGCTCGTGTGCTGGGTTTCGATAAGGGAGGCTCGGGGTCCCGCCGTTGGGAGTCCATTCTGCTTGCTGCGCACGAAGTCCTGAGGCCAAGACGACTGACATGCGCGGGCAGGTCAAGAAGCTGCAGGAGGACGGATGTCCGTGGGACAGCTAGGCTTGGGAGAGGTCTGGGGCCAGGCTTAGGATTTAGAGTTTCTGATTGCCAGATTCAAACAGGGAATCCCAGCTCCGGATGCTGCAGAGAGCGACACGGGGCTTCGCCGCAACCTTGCGCAGGTGTGGTCTTGTGCTAAAACTGTACCATCGAGACACGATCGGACATCAGGAAAAGAGCAGTCTCGAATCGCCATGCCTTGGGCGTCGTCATTACATTAAGCCCTATCAAGTCAGTAGAACGCATCCCAGAGAACAAAGATTAGCTTTTCAGCCCTTTGCGCGCTTGGACCTGCAAGCTTCAGCTGGGAGCAAATGCCAGGACCTGGACAAGCAGAAGCAGGACTCAGAGGCGGGTCCTTTACTGGGTTCTTGTCAAACGAGTTCGTTTAAGTTACCATTATAAGGAAGCCATATTGGTTAGTTACTTACTATAGATCCCTATTATGGCAACTTGGGAACTTAGCTCTTAACAAGAACCCAGTTTATGATGGCTGTGAGGACACTGCTAATAGCTCCACACAGATAGCTGTGATCCGAGCAGTGGTTGTGCCCAAGAAAGTATCAGCTTTACCCGGCACCATGATTATGCCACACCAATGTTCCAAGTGTAGACCCTACAGTGTCGTACTTAAAGTTTGCCTCGGCTTGGAATGTTGAGTTTGCTTCAAGGATGTCGCGGTTTCTTGGGATTTCGGGGACAGGGTTCGTGCTCAGGATGTCCATGGTTTTGTAGGCCTTGGATCTTTGGGAATACTCAGGCCCACGAGAAGCAGATCACGGACCTCCTGCACGAGAGGGATATCCTCGGCAAGGCTTTGGGGCCGGAGTTCGCAGAGCGATTGTCCCGTATTTCATGAGCACCGTGAACATTGCAAGCTGTCAGTTGAGACACCTTTTCGGGGGCTTCAGGCGGTGCACAGAGATCACACATCCCCGATTCCCACACAAAACTTGCAGCAGAACCTCGAAGCATTCCTGAAGCAGTAGACCTCAGACCCGGAACCCTTAAACCCATCAAGAGCCTCAGGCGCTAATGAAGGGAGACGAGCGCTCCAAGCAGCAAGCGGAGCTTGTCGAGCTCCACAAGGGCCAGGCCATCACCCTCTCCAAGGACCTCTGGGAGAGTTGAGCGCATGGCGGAGGTGAAAGACGCTGCTGCTGCTACTGGTACTGCTGCTGACTGCTCCAGCTACTGCTACTGGCGACGGACGTTGACACCGCTCCTGCTGATACCGCCATTGCTGGTGATGAAACAGCTCCTGCTGCTGCTCCTCCCCTCGTCTTCCTCCCTCTCGTACGACCACGACGACCAGCTCTTTGTTTTCGTTTGGTATACCACTGATCGGTTCACTCTTCATCCATCCGCCCAGCTGTCAACATGTATATGCATACGTTCTTGCATATTTCAACGTCTGGAGTTGGCCAGTGCAAACGAGCGAACCAGCTCGCGAGCAAACTGGGGATGGAGAGGTATCTGGACAGATGTACATGATTATACATACACACACACACACACACGCACACACACACACGCACAGGTGCAAACATGCACGCATGCACAGGTACGCACGTACGCACGTACGCACATACACGACATATGCACATACCCACACATAGAACACCGACATTCATGAGCCAGGTGTGATTCTCCGCTTCAAGGCAACGAGGCAGAAGCTTCGCTACTGCCAGGACCTGCACCGTTGGAAGACCGAGCTCCACCTGAAGCCGACAGCCCCAGATTTTCATATCCAGGGTTTTAAGGGATTTGGGGGCTTGCAACAAGAGGTCTCAGGGGGCCTTATCTTAGAGTTGAGACTCTGAGATGTGGGGTTTTGGAGGGTTTAGGGCCTTAGGCCTCTGGAAAGTTGAGAACTCCAGGGAACTGCTGATAATGAAGCTTTGAAGATGCAGAGCTGCCTGAAGGCATCTTCAGATTGATCGATGCAGTTCTTAGTGCCCACCGACGTTTGACAGAACTGATGCTCAATTTCGGTTGCGAGTTGAAGTGAACTTGACACCGTGCTGAGCTAAGTTGTGACCGGAAGCTCTAGAGACCCCTAAATCCATGGCCCCTAAAACACCAAGACCTCCTTCAGCCGCCGGGCTAAGGCTGGAGCGGATCCATGAGCTCGATCGCCAGCGGGAGAAGTATGCCACCGACCTCCAGCAGGCCTCAAGGGAGGGTGAAAGTCTGGTCTACTGCTTAAGGGGCTTCGGATGTAAGTACTGCGTGTCGAGGGCTGGGGTCTACTTGCTTGGGGTCACGTCGGGTTTAGTTGCCGGTTTCGGCTTCGTGCAGGCGACCACTTTCAGTTTATTCGTGGTACTAGAGGGGCCTTAATGATTACCTATGTTACTATTTGGGGGGTTCCTTATGATGGTATAATGGGCCCCAAGACCCTATTCGAGTTCTTAAGCCCTGCATTATTGCGTCCAAGCCCAAGCGCTGTGCCGAAGCGCAGGCGAAACAGCGCTGCGAGGCAGCTCAAGAAGAGCTCCGAGGCCGTGATCGTCGGTTTCGGAAGACTTCGGGCTTCGGAGACTGTGTATTGCGCTTCTGCTATGACATCTCCGGTTTTTGAAGTTCTGTTTCAAGTTTCAAGTGGACCGGGCCGCAGTTCGAGTGCAAGAGTTGCAAGTTTGGCCTTCAGCTTCAGAGCCGCTTCCCGACGCAAAGACCTTCCACTGCAGGCCGTGAGGTCCAGATGGCGCAGCTCAAGCGATCCATTGCTGATGTCCGGGCCAAGTGGGCGCAGCAGAAGAATCTCTACGAGGACGCTGCATGACCGTTCCTTCCTAGCCAGACATATCTGCAGTTTCCACGGCGTAAGCTGTTCCTTATCGACCCGACATACGGATGCGGCAGGCTGTGCGCACGGACAAGAACCTCTACTCGAAGAACTTAGTCGAGTCCCTCGAAGAAATCAGCGAGATGAGGAAGAAGTTCAAGGCCCGGGCATACTTCAAGGGCCCAGAGAGTCGTGCTCCAATAGCCAGGTGCAATTATTATTATTATTATTGCTATTGTTATTGTTATACTTCATCATACTATTCTGAAACACAAATTACACTGGAAAACGGAGGTCATGTGCCACCAGATTGAGCAGCTCAAGGAAGAGATCAAAGAGAAGGCTCGCAGTCGCTCCCTCTGCGACGGCGCTCGCGTCCAAAAGCCGGGCAGGGAAAGGCCCCAAGTTGCAGTGCTAACCGGCTAACCCAAAGCGTTGTCCGTTCCCGACACCGTAAAGAGCGACTGGAACGGAAAGACAGATAGGTAGAAGATCCAAAACTTCTGACAGGTAGCAAGCACCGAAATATCTCTCCGTCCTTTTCCGGGAGTCACCGCCAAACCGGAAGCTGGGCAGAGGATGTGGCCATGATCGCAGAGCACTTCAAGCACCAGAACATCAGCAAGGAGACCTTGAAAGCACTGCCTCGATTCGTGCCGACACATTCTGAGTCTGCCATGTTCTGACGTTTCGGCACCCGCCTTGAAACGATGTGTCTGAGAGGAGACGGAGAAGACCAAGCACACGCTGGAGTTCCATGAGAAGCAGCAGACCAAGTCCCAGCAGGCCCCGGACCTTGAAATCCCGAAGCTCCAAAGGCCCCTTAAACCCGACAAAGAGGTCCAAAGGCTTCGCGTGGTTCGAAAACTAGAGTCTAGGTGCATCAGAAGTCCGTAAGCTCTCGCCCAGCGCCTGCGGAAGTTGTACAGTTGGACTGCAGCTGTTGCTTGGGCACCTTGCACACGAAACAGGAACATGCTGTTTTGCTGTATCCAGTTCCAGGAGTCCTCAAGGTGGACCCTCGACCGGAACTGTGCCTGCGCATGCAGGTCGTGGAGCAGCAGCTGTCCGACATCAAAAAGCTGGAGGCAGGGGTTTGCGGAATTCCCGGTTAGGGCAGAAGTGCCTCACGCGCCAAAGACCGACCTCCCAAGAAAGCCAAGTCCGAACTCACCTTATACGTACAACTTGTACTTCAGTAACCATGCAATCAGCAACAGCAGCAGCACGACCACAGAGGAGCCGCAAGATTGATGCAGATCACAAGTACACCTGCGAGAAGTGCAGCAGTCATCTTTGCCACCTTTGTGGCTGCAGTACCTGACAATCTTCTTCAGCAGCATCATCGTCGTCGCTCCCACTTTCTTCTTTCTGATTCCTCCTCAGCATCATCGTCATCATCATCACCACGGTCATCCCATCATCATTGCCATCATCAGCAGAATTTTCATTGGTGTGCTCCTCCTCCTCCTCCTCCTCCTCCTCCTCCTCCTCCGCTTGCTCCTGCTCTTCCTCCTGCCGCATCAACAACATTACATTCATCATGGCCTCAAAGTTGCATGAAACATGACCCCGAACCCGGAATGACTTCACGGGGGCGAGTGACTGCCGCTCGCTTGGAGAAAGAAGTGAAGGGGCGTGCTCGATCTTTGCCATCATGACCTGATTATGTTTTTGAGAGGCCACCATCCAAGAGGCTGAGACGGAGCGGCAGCACCAGCGCAAGGAGTTTGAGGCCTGTGATGGTGTATGTCGCGATTGATCGGTGAGAACAGTTTTTTCCTGTGCTGAGTGGACGTGTTTCCGTGGGCTTTTCACTCGAAGGTGCAATCGAAGCCAACCAATAGTTAGCAGCGCAGGGTGAATCACTCGAGACGTAGATTCAACCAAAAGGCAGAAACATACAGATGCATGCGCGATTTTGCGTGATGATTAAGTGCTGTGGGAGCTACATCGAGCTCGTAGCTCAATAGGTAAGCAGGGCTGTGCAGGGCAGCCCCACGCCCAGTCGTGTGGGTTCTGTTATGTCATGTTGCTAGCAGCCATACTGCATGGCGCAGCATATTGCGTTGTTATGCATGTTGAGTATCCATCTACGGTCATCAATTCACATATATAATATTTCCGATACATTACGAACGTTAAGTATCTATGGTAAGTAAGTAAATATGATCTCTTATACATAGGGGGGGACCTCAAAGACTCGGCGAGACAGGCTGTTACCTCCGAGCGCAACATCCTGGGCAAGCAGCTCATCCGACGAAACGAGGAGCTCTCGCTGATCTACGAGAAGATCAAGATCCAGGAGCGAGCTCTTTTGGGGTCACGGCCAGTTTCGAGCTGGAGTTTCAATAAGTATCTCGACCCTCTGCCTTAGACCCTAGTAGTGTGTATGAGGCCACATCCACGAACCCAGCCACCCTTTGAAGCGACTAGAGGAGCCTCAGAAATTGGTAGCTGTTTGCAAAGCAATACTTTGGAAGCTGGCGCCCTGCAGCCCCAAACTCCTCACATCGCCTTGCTCTGCACATGTGCGGAACGTCACGAACCGCCACTGCAAGACCCTGCTGATGTAGAGTATGCTGGCACTAGCTTATTATATGCACATATACAGACGGGCCAATCTGAAAGGGTGTATATACTATCTACACACTATGAGAGCACTCTTTATTCCCGATGCGATCTAGTAACTCTGGTACCCTTCAAGATGTGTAAGATGTAAGACGAAGACACGCATTGAAACCGATGCGTCCTGGCGGACGAGGAGAGCACTTTGGGCAAGGGTGAGGCGGGGTACGATGCTGCGGCTCCCGCCAGCCTGTAGGCTTCGGAGCTTTCGAGCCTAGAAGGTTTGGTTTTCTTTAGGGTTACTTGTCATGGCCGTCGTAGGCCCAGTACAAGAAGCTTCTGGAGAGCCTCCGCGGACAGCGTAGCAGCATTGCGACGCTGGGGTCTCAGAGCCTTGCTGTGAGTCAAAGTCTTGAACACTTCGTGCCCGACGGCTGTCGGTGTTTTGCCTGATCATCCGGACATGTCTGGCCTAAATGCCTTCTCCTCATTGCTGGTGCTCCAATGCAAAGGCTCAAACGTGACCTCTTCATTGCCCAGCAGCAGGCAGGTCCGAAGTCTCCAAGCCACGACCGAAGACCTCCGACCGGGCACCGGGGCTGTCGCGACCCATAATAGCAGGAGCTCTGGGACTCTAGGCTATGTCTTGATGCGTCAGTTTCATCACGTGTGTTTCCTAACCGCTTACCCCAGCGGCTTCAAGAACTCCTGTAAGCTGCAAAATGTCCAGCATTGACACCGCCCTAATTGTGGCCTTCTCACTGCACCTATGGGCGAAAGCGCATCTCTCATAGTGTAAATCTTTGATCGGTTCTAGTTAGTTGCAGCATACTCGTACCGGCTGTCCGCGAGAGAAGAGGAAGGTCCTGAGCTTCACCAGAGATTCTTCGGAAGGATGGCAGTCCTTCGAAATGACACCCGGACAGTGTGTTTGTTGAAGCCTGCCCGAAACCCTAGCCCTACTCATAAAGCCAAAACCCAACTCGAAACCCCACACCCGACCACGTCCCAAAATACGAAAACCCACCCCTTTAACGACCAGTGGTTGTTTTCGTGGTCGTTGTAGTGGCAGTGGTAGGAGGAATAATATGCGTTGACAAGACAGGCCGAGAGCGCTTCCGGCTTGGAGAAGGCCAGCAGACAGGTCGACATGTTCTTTTTTTTCAGTGTGTTGTAAGGGTTCTCTTTAGTATGGGATTTGATATATCGGGGTTTGTTCTAAGAGGCCGTGGGGTTCAGGGTTAAGGGCTTTTCAACCGAGGCTTCCAAGTGACATTGCGACCCGTGACAAGACTGGTTCTTGGATGCCACGAAATTGCACCGGAGATCCTAGAAAAAGTAGTCTAGGCTCTGTTGGGATGTTTCATTTCTCTATGTCAATTGACTAAACTCCGAAAGTCCGAGTCCCGAAAGGACACACGCAGAACCTCACCTCTGGACTCTAGGCTAGCTATCTGGACCTCACAAACGTTGATCTCCTCCCTCCCTCCCTCTCTCTCTCTCTTTCGCTCTCCGTCTTGATCTATTTCCTTTCTGCAGGAAGTCTACCACCTCCAGAGGGAGCTTCTGCAAGAGCGGACGAAGGCTTTTGGCAGGGACTCGGGGTTGCGGCTTACGGCTTCAGCTTTGGAGTTCGGGGGCTTGGCCTGTAGGGCGAGGTTTGAGGCTTGGATGGCCTGTTGCAGGACTCAGGATTTGGAATCGAGGTTTGGAGGGATCCCCACCCAGCCCCATACCTGGGCGGCCGTATTGTAGGAAGGCATGCGATGACAGCGTTGCGATATAGACGATCTAGATGCAGTGCGGCTCTGCCTGTTGACTGTAGATAAGAAGAGTGGTAATAGTAGTAATCAAATAGAAATCAAATACAACATGTGTACTGTTTGCATGCAGGTTCGAGCTCTTTCAGAAGAGCTCGAGAATCCGATGACACTTGGACCTGACTGCCTGGAACTTTTTCAGTTTTCGATAGCGGGCTTCTTCTGTTCGGATTCGTAGGGCTCAGCCTTCTAGCGATTTTCGTGTGTTGATTTGTGTATGCTCATGAGCTCAGGAATGTCCATCGCTGGAGAAAGCTTGAGGGGTCTGATCCGGCCATCTACGCATCTTGGCGACTTTAGCTTGCTGGGGACTGTCGTATTGCATCTGTCGTAAAGGGCTGTCTGGCTAGCACCGGGACGTTCTCGCCAGAGGCCGGAGATAGCCTCTAACCTGGCCATGCTGCCGCACGGTTCCTGACACTGAGGTTATCCACGTATGCAAGGGTCGCACCTACAACTCGTTGAAGCAGTCATATAGCCAAGGCGTCTGCATGGGTCTATTCTGTATGTACAAAATACATATATATATATATATACACACATATACATGTGTGTGTGTGTGTCTGGGTTTAATGTCTGTATGCATGTATGTAGGGTAGCGTATGTATGCATGTGCATATGTACATGTGTATGTTCATGTTACTAGGACAACGTTTTTCGATACTTCTTGTTTCTACATGAAGCCGCGCTCGACTGAACTACACTGTGCCTGGTAGCTCTGACAGTTCCGAAATCCGTGGTTGTGTTCTGATTCTGTGCATGCCAGGAGCTCATCCAGAAAGCTGCTTGGTTGCAGATGGAGAAGTGCGCGGGCTCAGGGAGACATGACACCAATGAGAGGACACCAGCAGAATAGCAAAGAGCCAAGGTGCTTCCTTCTTTGTCGTGTCTGCAAGCATTGTCTGACAATGAGCTCTAGTACATTGTAGCATACTAAGAAACGAAAGAAAGGTGTTAGGCGATACTATAGTATACCATGCTGCCACGTTATGATTAGTGTTATCACTCCTAGTCTTGCTAAATCGTTATGATGGTCTACTGCAATAGGATTGAGAGCCTTGGGAGTTTGGGCCCAGGTGCGAACTTTGCAGAAGCGGCTGATCGCCGCGTTCTCAGGGGGCGTTTTGGCGCTGGCGAAGCTACGATTCAGAGTTTACAACTTAGGGTTTGGGGCTTTAGATTCTACGGTTCGGGTCTAGGGTTTTTAGAGTCCACGATTCAGGGTCTAGGGTTTCGGAGCTTCACCCGGGGTGAGCAGTCGGCGTGTTCCGGGCGTATAGTTTCCCAGATGGATTGTCGGGTTGCAGAAACCGATAATAAGCAGTTATGTCAGTGGTACCCCTAATACCCGGATCGAAGTCGTCCGCAGAGCGGTTGCAAATCTTTGGACATCACGGTTTTCTTCTACTCGAGCGGCACCCCGAAGCCTAAGTAGCAACCCAAGTAGCCCGTTTGCGGCCCAGTGGATAGCTGAGGCCAAAACCGAGGAGGTCGTCGCAAAGGACGTCGAGATCCAGGAGAAGGAAAAGCTCCACAAGGACCCTTTCTGAGACATGTCTGTCCGTCCGCCCGCCCGCGGCTGTCTATCTGTTTGTCTGTCTGTCTGTCAGTTGCCCTATTCCTGCCTACCTGTCGCACAGTCCGGTGCTGGGCTCTAGACCCCTAAACCTACGATGATGTCCCTTGCTGTCTTGCGCAATTCGCACACAATCCAAGAACATGCCATGAACCAGTTCAGATTGCCGTCTCCGATACTGCCTATAACTACACCCCTACACTGTACTTTGCTCTGCGAAAACATGCCGCAACTCATGTCAGGAGCTGACTTCCATCCTGGAGAAGCAGCCTGGGCCTGAGGTGCTGGAGCAGTTGGAGCAGTACCAGGAGCAGCGTTTACTCTAGGGGCCTTTTTCGGGGGGTTCGTTATTTTCGTTGTAGCATCACGGCCCCCAAACCCATATTCCAACCATTAAGTTTAGGGTTAGGGCGGAGGGTTGGGCTTTGGGGTTCAGAGTTTTTGCATCGGCACAGAGCAGTTTTAGGTGTGGACTACATCATCTCCCTGATTCAGGATTCAAAACTCGACAGTTTAGGTTTCAGGGTCTTTGCAGCCTCAACAGGGGCCCAAACCCTACGATCCTCGATCGACGTAAGCCCAAGCCCTGGACGTGCAAGCGGAACGTATGTCTATGATGTGTATCTTACAGTATGTTGGTCCTGAACTATCGTAAACGGTAGGCGACGTAAACTATGCTCCAGTCTGCCACATGTTTGTCCGAAGCTTTTATGCGATGTGTGCTGCTGCAGCAGGAGACGTACAGTGCTAAGCTCAAGCAGATGAAGGCCATGCAGAGCGAGCTCCACACCTATCAGTCTCAGGCAGGATTGCAAAGAAGCAAATAGGGACTTCTGGCATGCCGAATCTTGAGCGAATCACCCTTGACCTAAGCCCTAGCCTCCAAGATATCGGATTCAAGATCTAGGGTGTACATGTCGGGCTGTCAGTCACCCACTGCTGAAAAACTATTAATGAACACCCGCACTCAACCGTCGACCCTAAACCGAGAATGTCGACCTCCTATGGCTCTCTGGGTAAGAAACGAGCCGACATACATCCTAACCCCGCAGCACAAGCTTGCAAATCTTTGAGCAAAACCCGCAAGGTTCCATTAGCATAATATAGGAGCCTAAAAAATTTGAGATCTTAGTGATAATGATTTTGATGTTTGTACAGGAAACAGATTCAATCAGTAAGATGCTTAATTCAGGCCACTGGAATTTGCTGAATTTTTGTCTTGCTTTTCCCATACTTTTCTTTACCGAAATATCAAAGGCATTAACATATTGCATTCCTGAGGCCCGAATCCAACTTTTAGAGTTTTTCCTATTCCGGTAAAGGAACACATTAAACGACCAATATAATATTCACTTCCACGGGCCAGAGTTTAACATTTTCATGTTCTTACTGTTCTGAATGATTTCAATTAGTGTTAAACTCTTTGGAGTTTTTGGGGCAGGGCCAGGTCCGCACATGTCGCCACGCAGCGAGGTTACTCTGGCTCAAGACATCTGCACTGCGAGACTCTTGGCAGACAATGCCAACTGGTAGGAAGTGCTCGTTCGATCTTTGCGAGTGCTCCCGCATGCTCCTCAATGTGATTTAAACAAATCACAAGTGGAGTGCTGCCAGAGCAAGCTGAATTCTCCCAAGAGGCACCTGACCTGGAGTTTTGCTTCGAAGCGTGACGCACGTGCCGAACGGTATGGTCTTGTTTACGCATGTGCAGAAGAAGACCCTTCGGATTGGCGACTGTGGCGGGACGAAGATCGCCAAGCACAGCTGACGCTTTGGCGGAATTAAAGTTCGACCACATGCCGGTCGGTTTCTGCCGACCATGTTTTTGTCTATATTTGTTTTTGCCAAGGCTCCCCCGACTACGCACAACGAGCCCAGATGACTACGGGGATCGTGTCTCGACGATTTTAGTACGACGTATCTTGCACACGCAAGAACGCAACATCCTTCAGATAGGTTTTTTGTGATCGACTGGCGGACGAGATGACCTCCAAATCGCGTTCGATTCTTGTGCGATTCACCAAAGAACCGGCATGTTGTTTGCACTTCGTCACAGTTGTGGCCGATGCCTGGCTCGTGCACGCAGGCTTCTGTTTTTGTGGAGACGGTTTTTGAGCACGCATTGCCATGTCGCCTGAATTGCCAGGACATTCTCGCAGTTTGAGGATGCAGTCCGCAATTTCCTGAAGAAAGCACCGGCAGACCGCGAAGTCGTTCTGCCATGATGTTCTTCTGCATGTGGTTCCGAAGGAATCTTGAACTTCGGAATTTGGTTCTTGCGTGCACAGCGCAATTTAGGTCACAAGCTTTAGCAGAATCAGAATCGTCAAGCCGCGGGCAGCTTGAACTCGGCGATGAGTGGACCTGCTGCGGTTAGCTTTGTGCAGGACCATCTCTCAAGGGAAGCACTGGCGCAGGTTACGCACATTGCTTCTGACGTGCCTTCCAACCATCTCTTCAACAAGCCACGAATAAGTATGCCCAACCTTCGACAGTTTCTCTTGACGAATTGCATGTGGCGATGAAGTATGAGTACACGACTGGTCGCCACCGCAAACCAGGTTCGGCAGCCTTCCGAGGATGCCTGTGCAAAATTAACTCGAAATCAGCAATCGAGATCCAAGCTGCATTGCCAAGCCCCCGGGTCCTTCTTTCATCGACGGAACACCGCCGGTGTTGACTTGCCAGGAAGCGAGGCTCCAGCAGCAAATGTTGAACAGCGATATGCCTGAGCGCAGCGGCCCTTTCGGTCTTAGCGGCAAGTAGCGAGTTTGGTCCACCAGGCTACAGCTCATCGCAGCCATTGCCGCAGTTTCTTTTGTGCCGCACAGAAGTTGTTCGGAAAAGTGATAAGAAGGGCGCGTGTGTGTACCACCGCATTCACTTTGCAACTTCTGCTGGAGATCGCTAGCAAGTGGCAGGGCGCTTTTGTTGAGTCCAAAATCGTTTTTATGCCAGCGTAGATGTTCGGGAGTGCAGAATCATAGAATACAGAAGGCCACATGACGACCCGGGCCACATACCGAGGCATTCCGGGATAGCGCAAAATTCCAAAGCCCGACGTATTTGCTGCTGGGAGGATTGCGGCGAGAAAGGGGCTTCCACCTAGGTAACAGTTGACTGTAACAGTTGTGTTTGCCAAATGAGTCCCGTGTGGAATGAGCTTCGATGAAGTGCAGAGTACAGTGGCGGCCAGGGCGTGGTGGGCGGACGCAGCGAGATCAATGCAAATCTGCACTAAGCGCTTGAAAACATCTAAATGTAATGTGCAAGCTGCAAAATCGCTCTATGTTTCAATCCCAACGCATGTGTTTACTTCAGAAGCATTGGTTTTGCTCAGGAGGCGTACCGTCACTTAGTCAAGTACAGTAAAGAACACAAGCGCAGTCCAAGACAGCGACAGATTGCTAGTGAAGTCAATGTTTGTTTCCGAATGCACGGCTCAAATAACAAGTGGCTAGCCTGGGACACATTGTCGGCAAGCGCGGCTTTCTGAAGATAAACAAGAAAGCACATCCGTGAGATAGGCTGAAGCGCCGGAGTTGCTTCTGACACAGGGGTGGGTGGGTTGTGAGGGAGCTCAGGGCCACGTAAGATTGAATGTCTTGGATTTAAACCTTCCATCGTGGTGAGTACAATAGGTATACCTGCAGAGATATCAAACCAACGCTAAACCGGTCCGAGGGGCCCTGGGTAAGTAAAATGGATTGTTGCAGCCCCGGACCCCGCCCGCAGCGGATAATTCTAACAGAGTGTTTTTTGGAAACATTTATCGATGGTTTATACTTCTATTCAGGAACCCTAAGGAAGACTATTCCTATTTTCTCAAGCTCCATAAACCGTTAAATTTCGAAACTTCAGAATCCTCAAGACCTAAGCTTCAAGCCCGTAGAAACCCGGAGCCCCAAACCCTAACTATATCCAGCCTTCCATGCAGGTCTCCGACTACAAGGACGAGATCGATAGGCTGAATCGTGAGCTTTCTGAGGTCAAAAAGCCCCTCGGCCTTGCTTGGGGTTTAATGTTTAGGTAGGGAGGGTCTCCGCGTCGACCTGGGGCAAAGGAGGAATTTTGTTGACAGGCTGTTTTTCGAGGCCGGTACTGCATGCCTTAGCCCGGAATCCGAACATAAGACCCAAAAAGCCTCGCTGCTCACGAAAAGACGCCGTCTCGAGGTTTGTGTGTTTGGTCGTTTTGTCAGCTGCCTTCCCAGGAAGTTCTTCGAGCAGAAGAAGCGAGAAATGATGCAGCAGGCCTTGCAAGAAGGGCGCGCATTTTGGGGCTTCTTAAGTCTAGAACTTAGGAGTATTTTCTTCGTTCTAAGGGTCATCTTGAGATGCATTATTTCAGGGTCTACATCAGGCTCCCTTGTTTTCTGAGATTCCCATATCCGATATCGCCGATAACTACACACCACTTCTTGTGCAGCATAGTTTTGAGCTGGACTCCGGAGCATGCTTGGCTAGCACGAAGAGTACCGAAGAAGCAGCGACAAGTTACTCCGGTTTCCTCAGGAGTCCCAGCGTGGTGACGGCCGCGTCATCCATCCACGGCCTGTTCCCCAGGCCAGGCAGAGGAGTGCAACTCAGGGTTCCGTGTTAGATCTATGACTATGCTATAGTACTCCCCAAAACCTATTCTGATTAGTAAGCCTTTGCTGACTGACGTTCTTTGATGTCTTTTCAGTGGCACTTGCATCTTTAAAGGCCAGTAGCATGGGTTGTTATTGCTAGCTCGGGAACCAAGGGTGGACGACAACTCCATGGCGACCACATATGATTTGTCGTATATTCTGCAAGATGCGCTCTTTATCGGTTGATGCAGTCAATGGACGGGAAGTCCGCAGACACACTCACACCATCGCGCCAGGCTCGCTACATGGGCGGCTTGTTCAGCCTGTCCCACTGAAGGCGGGAACAGGATGCTTCGATGACAGGGTCTCAGGCAGATTTCACACAGAGGCTGAGGGGAGCACTTCATGCTTGCAGGGGCATCTTTTCACGGGATCCTGAGTCCGAGGAGGCATTTCGGCATGTTGTTTCGGCGTTTAGGAGCATCAGTCAGGGCTAGGCCGGCTCGGTCACCCTAGCCAGCACAATCGACAGCATGATGAAGATGAACATCAGCGGCGGGCCGACATGCCCACCCAGTCAAGCAGTCAGCGGTCAACCAACCCAGCCAAAAACATCATGAGCATCAGCGGCGGGCCGCCTCAAACATTCAGTCACAATGAAGCAGCCAATCAGGGATCACCCGAGCCCACCGGAGCAACAACAGCACCACGAAACACAGCTAACCTGTGTGACGACGTGGAGCATCGTTAGCAGGGCCGGGCCGCGTTCCCTTCGATCCTGAACCCCGAGCCGCAACATCATGAGCCTCAGCAGCACGCCGCCTTAACCGCAAGTGTTTTTGCAGAAGCCACAATGAGGGATCTACCGGACCGGCCCGATCAACAACAGCATTATGAGCATCAGTTGTGGGCGCCTTGAGCTTCAACTCAAGCAGTTTGCAGTGCTTGAACCCGTCGAGTCACAAGTAGGATGCAGTCAGCATCATGAGCATCACCGGTTGGCCGCCTTGATCCCTCCAGTTAGGGTCACCCGAACCCATGCGGCCGAGAAGAAGAGCATCACGAGCATTACCGGCGGGCCGCCTTAGGACCTGTCGGACTTGCTGTGATCCCCGGTACAAGGTTTGACAGATACTCAACTCGGTTGCTTTTGGTTGCGTGCAGAGCAGAGCTGCGAAGCGGTCTCGCCTGAGCAGATGTGGATTCAGGCGCCCGCGGTGGCTGAAACGCTTGTGGCTTCGACAGAGCAGCCGCCGAGGCAGGAGTAGGTTTCACCTTCCCAGCATGTGGGGAAGAGTTCTGATTCTTACCATTGTGAATGTGTCGTCGAATCTTGCGAGCGAAAATGCAGAACCTCTTCCCCGGTAAAGTCTCACCTGGTGTCCACAGAGGCAAGATCCACTTGCCTGGCAGAATGCCTCAAGATCTCGACCAGTCCGGAAAGCATCAGTGCCCTCAAACACGAAACTTCAACAAACACAGAACAGTACAGACGTCTTCTTAGAGAGTATAGCATCGAAGGAATGGTCCGAGTCATCTCGGGGTAAGGACGCGTCGGAGGTGTCGAATGACCCGACCGGCGTGGTCAGCTCACGAATTTCCCACCTCGCCAGGAGGAAAGCAAGACGTCAAGTGCTCGATCGCATCTCGGATTTCTGGGTTCCGGGTTTAGGGCTTACTTGATGGTGAGGCCTTGGCCGTAAGCCAGGGTCGGTGCGATTCCCTTGAGAGCCTCTTGCTCTTGATCAGGGCCTGGCCCTGAACCCGATATACATGATACAATGCCTACGATATCCTACGATTGTAACCATACATACAGGTCGACATTCGTCCGGCTTTGGCCTCGCAGTTTCGGCTCTTCATGGCAGCTGTGCCCGACGGCTCAGTACTGCGCACGCGTCACGCTGCCAAAGGAGGAGGTTTAGTGCCTAACGAAGTTTAACGGACTCACAGCTGTATCTCCAGGCTTTAGTGCAACAGAAGTAGCTTGGCTCGAGCGTTAGCCATGACGCCGGTGCCCGTCATCTCGCTGCCCAAAGCTACGGAGGTGTCTCGCTCAAGCTTTCTGAGAGTTTTGAGGGCCCACCTTGTACCAGCACCCTAAACGTGATGATCCCTGCGAAATACGTTATTCAGAGCTGTCAGGCATAAGAATCACAAGCTTTCCAAGCGCCGCATCATCCCTTTATCGCTGTTATTATGGTTCTTCTTTGGGTGCTTTTCTTGGATCTGACCTAACTAGCACCCCGAAGTCTGAACCCAAACCCCGAGTGTTGAAAAATCACCGAAGCCTCAACAACCAGGAGTTGCTTAAGCACATAGCGTGAAAGGTCATTCTCAGCCCTGTTCAAATTCTGAGTCTTGAAGATCTTCTTATAAATCTTTGTACAACTGGGCAAGAGCCCGCAGCCTTTGACGACACAACCATGTTGGGCGTAAGCCCGAACCCTACTGTAAGCCAGATTCCTGACTGAGAAAGCCTGTCAAACTCAGAACAAATGTTGCAATCGTACGTTGGGCCTTCAAACCCTGTCCTCAGAATACCCCCTTCTCGGTAGATCTACAAGAAGACCAGGCCGAACACTTCGTGATCCATTCCGATGTCGGGACCCCTTCGGGGTCCATGCCGGGCCTTCCAAGGCCCAGAAGCTTTGTTCTTGGTGATGTGGAAAGTGGGGGGGGGGGGCGGGGTGTTTGTGTTTGGGGGGGGGGGGGGTTGGAGGGTTTAGGGTTTTCGGATCTTCCTTCAGTCTTTTCATCGCAGAGTCTCGGAGACCAATTTCTCGGAGCTTGCAGGTTGTTCATGTGCACGGAGAGGTTTGCCATGTCATGAGCGGGAGGATCTTGCTCGCAAAGAGTCTGCTCCAGGCAGCGCCGTCGGGACAACCTGAGCCGGAGGACAGCTCGCAGTTTCAGGTTTCTATGATGGCTTCGGAGTAACGGGCCAGCGTTGGCGATATGTTTGTAAGTTTGATGTCTACGCCTTTTTACATACTTTCTTGTATTGTTTGTTGCGAGCTGCTGGCAAATCCCCACGCTAAACTCATCAAAGCCTTCTCACCTCTTCAAAGTGGCGATGGTCCGTGCGCCCAGGAAGCCCTCGCCGACCTCCGAGGGGTTCGGCGCTCGGAACCGTCTGTGGAGGCCTTGACAGATTCCAATCTGACCGGTCTTACTTGGTCACCTCGTCGGACTCGTCGTAGCAAAGCCAGCAAAGCTGTCAATCCGATTCCCAGAGCCGGCCCTCGAACCTTTGGACACAAGAGTCTCGGTGTGGGAGGGATGCTGACTGGCAGCCCCGGACCTGCCTCTTTCCTCCTCCTTTGCGTGCTGAGGCAACAGAGGCCGGGAAGCCCGCAGCCTCAGCAGCCTGAAGAGATCTCCGTAACTGTTCTGAAGTTGGCTGCCGCGACTTTTTATGTTCGGGATCCGAAACCCGAGCTGACTATCAGAAGACCAAGGCTTGGAAGTGCTTTTTTTGTCTGAAGACAAACCCACGGTTCCCCGAGGCTCGGAGAAGCCAGAGTCGGGGCCTTGATCTGTTTAGCAGAATCTTCTGTGTGGATCTGGGCTTTCTGTGACCAACGAAGAGTTTGCTCCAGCTGACGGCAACAGTAACAGCTCAAGGCAAAAACCTGCAGGCTTGCACTAGAGCTTTAGGCACAGAGCGGAGGCACTGCAGTCTACCAGGGTGTGCCTCAGAGCCCTTCACTACACATGCTTTTTGCTAGAAACAGCTGTCACCTTGCGACTAGGCCCAGACTGGAGTCAGCTGTTTCGGCTGTCGAGCACGGCCCCCAGAAGACGACCAAAACAGACCGGGCGGCAAGTACGTTCGAAAACAGCACAAGAGAAGGCATGTGGTTGCAGTCGTCGTCGCTGTCGCCGTCCTCGTCGCTATCCGAGGGGAACAGCGATAAAAGCAGAAGCAGTAACATCACCAACTGTAGTCGCAAGGCGGAAGTTAAGCAACATGGAACGGTGTGTACTGTACCATACTATACTGTACCACGCTTTGTTGCACAATAACAATACAGTACTTTACTGATACTTTTCTATGCGATCCTATCTTTTGATATGCTATATGGGTTTTCCGAAAATTAGGGCTACCTCATTTAGGATCCTTATCATCAGGATCCTTAAACCTCCGTATCATACGACTACATAGCCAAATCTACTCTGCTGTGACTGCTGTTGGAGTCAGGCCCGACGTGGCCCGGGCCAGGCCCTCAGCGACGGAAGCGCCAGGAGTCGCGGAGCAGGGCCCGGGTAGGGGGGGTGGGGATGAGAAGGGAGCGGCTTTTTGGGGATGGACATAGGGATGGAGAGGGATGACGGGAGATCAAAAGGGATGAGAAGGGATGATGATGGTGATAGTAATTATCGGATAAAAGGGTGATGGTGGTGATGGTGAAAACTGGTGATGCTGCTGTTGATTGTTGTTGATGCTTGCAGAGACAGTCTTGGCCCTTCTGAATCCTCATGGCTACTGCGAATTGTGACTGTATGTCGATGCATCATGTCACGATTAGCCGTAGTTTGTTACGATTCAGCCTTCTGTCGCTTGGGGCTGAGGCATCTCCCACTTCCCGGCTGCGTCGCGAGAATGACGTCTTGCGCATGCAGGCGGGCAAGCCTGGCTGCGGCTTCTGTAAGATGCTCTACTACACCAAGAGATTTTCATCCCCGGCCTAACCCAGTCCGTTTTAATGCCGGAGCATGAAGTGCGTGGCTGAAATGGCCACACAACAGAGGGCTTAAACAGCCTCCAAGTCAGGTGCAAGCTCTGCGAGAGGTCCAGGAACAGACGGCAGAGATCCACTGGCAGGCGCAGGATTTTGGGCTTTGGCTGTGTAGGCCCTTTTCGGGCTTTGGGCGAGGAACAAGTTTCCGAAATCCAAGGCCCCGCCCTCTGACCCGGGAGGTCATCTCAGACATTGTGGCGGAGCGGAACCTCTACGAATCACGGTGGCGCGAGGCGTCGAACGGGGCAAGTATTCAACGGCCATAGCAACCGATCTGGTTTCGGGTTTTGAGCCCCTTGCGAACGGGGGGGGACCATCATGGTGAGCCTGATGCTGATGCAGATGACGATCTCAGTCACAACCCTCCTCCCTCTACTGTCACCCCCTAAGCCCTAAACCCTACAACCTAAACCCTCCACCCTAAACCCTAAATCCTACACCACCTTCACAGAAGATCCGAGAGGCCGTGGCTTCCGAAATCAGGCCATCGAGGCCTCTCACTCTCAGCGAAGGTCTCTGTTTGGTTTTGTTTGGGAAGAGTGGTTGATTTGGTCAGCGCCGATCATAGTTTCTCTTTTTTGCGCGAGGTGGGGGGGAGGGGGTGATTTCGAGAGTCTTCGATCGCGAACGTCAGTTTCACCATTGCGCATCCATCCCCTTCGAGGAGACGCCAACGAACTCATGGCTAAGCGCCGTCTAAATGCGTATGAGGCACACTGTCCCCAGGCGCGTGAACCGAGTATCAGATATTGCCTGAAGGACGACAGAGGAGTTAATCATTCGTGCAGAAAAAGTGCAATCCATTGCCTGTTTAAGTGTTCCATTGTATCGGCACGCATGCGTGCAAGCCTGTGTCCAAAGGCGTCATACAGCATCTATAGGATCGGTACAATACGTATCTGGGAGCGGTAACGTCATGATCATGGGCAGTACTACTGATATGGGGCTCGGGCCCTACTTCTGACGCAGTTTCCTGGTATGTGGTTTTGAAAAGTCGTGATCAAGCACAGGGGTAAGTTTCCAAGAAGGCCCAGATGATCCTGCTGCAAGTGCGGGTTATTGACCCTAGCTGACTGCTGCTCTAAACCTGCTTGGCCCGCCAGGAAGACGGTGTCCCTAACCACTTCCAGCGCCGCGTGGCTGAAGTATGCGGAAAGGGTGGGGCAAGCTCACTACTTTCTGCTCCCGTTGGAGATCCTAAACATGCAATCTATAACGTGCAATATATATTATATAATCCAGAATATATATTTAAGCAGTTTGGGTTGATGCCAATGCCCGGCATCTTTCTGGAATCGACGGAAGTCTTGTCAACAGCCATGAGTCCGTCCAGAAAGCTTCAGATCTGACAGCTTGAAGCTTACAGCACTGCAGAACCATGCCCTTAGCCTCAGAACTCTGCATTACTTCATGGGGGCAGTGCGGAAATGTCCGTCTGCTTCCAGGCCTCCACTGCCACAGAGACGGCGCCGCCTGCACCAGTTGCATCATCCGCGCCAGCTGTGCCGTCTGCGCCGAGGCGAGATCGGGGTGATCTTTCTAGGTCGTCCCATAGATCCTCTGAGCTTGCAGTAGTTCTGCGATTACAATCGAAGTGTAGATAGCAACATCAGCAGACCAAGGACCAGCATACACCAATATGAAACAAAGTTAACTGAGCATGGATCGCTACAAATCTTCACATGCGCTCTGTCCCGTGCAACAAGTGCTCTGAGGTCCGTTCCCGCACGGGTTTACACACTCACGCCCAGCCTCTGCCGCCGGGCTTTGCACTCAGCTTGTTCTAGTTGAGATTTTCTCGTTTTCATCATCATCATCACCACCATCATCATCGCCATCATCATCAGCGCCATCAGCACTATCAGCACCAACAGCACCATCAGATCAGCACCATCAACACCATCAGCACCATCAGCACCATCAGCACCATCAGCACCATCAGCACCATCAGCACCATCAACACCATCAGCACCACCAGCACCAGCAGCACCAGCAGCACCAGCAGCACCAGCACCACCCAGCACCACCAGCACCACCAGCACCACCAGCACCACCAGCACCACCAGCACCACCAGCACCACCAGCACCACCAGCACCACCAGCACCACCAGCACCACCAGCACCACCAACACCACCAGCACCAGCACCACCGGCACCACCACAGCACCACCACAGCACCACCACAGCACCACCCTCGCCCTCACCCTCACCGTCACCCTCACCACCATCACCGACCCCATCGTCATCCTCACTGTTATCCTCATCACCAGCGTCGTCTGTGTCCCCGTGATCATCATCATTATCGTCGTCATCATGATCATTGTTATCGTCATCACCATCATCATCATCGTCATCATCATCATCATCATCCGCTCGAGCGCCACCATGGACTTGTAGTACAAAGCTTCGTAGAGTTTCCCCGAGTTTTCCCACAGGGGTTCCTATCACAGAATCCAAGCGGACATCGCCCAGAAGTTGGTCTCTTGTTTGATAGCTCCAGGATGCCAACCCAGTTTAAGCGATCTCTGGCAGAACAGGACGGACTACTGTAGCAATTTTGCACATCGCGCCAGAACGAGGGCTGGATGTTTAGAGCAGGGGCAAGTATGCAGCAGGAGGAGAGGTAGTAGTGGTAGGAGGAGGACGACGACCTTCCTGGCTTTCAGGTTTGGCAGCGGCCAGTTGTGGATCGCCTTCTGAGGCAATCGGTGCCGCGGACTGGGATGAGATGACGCGGTGGAGCCCGCAAGGGCTGAGGGCTTCAGGGCTTTAGAGCGCATGCTTGGCAAGACCGTCCTCTCGGGAAAGCCAGGGACCAAAATCTCTATGCTTGTGAGGAAAGTGCCACGGCCCCCCCCCCCCCCTCAGTGCACGACGAAGATCTGCGTCCTTTCGGACAGGTCGCCCACTCCGGTCCCCGTGCGGGAGCTCAGGGCATTGTGTCTTATGTCAGCCTGGGGGTTGGTCAAAAGCATGTGCCCTTTTGGGGTCTGTATTAAAGCATATTCCTGACAGTTTAAGGGACCAAAAGCAGTTCATGGTTTTGCTCAGCTCCCATATGTCAACCTCCCCAAACCATATGAATCCTGAAGCCTGGAACCGTTTGAACAAACCTAAGGTGACCAGCTACACCTTGCGCCCCAGCTCTCTGTACACTTGCGCCGGCCAGGGCCCTGGAAGGAGGAGGGGTTACGCTTAGACGGTCTCAGGTTATGTAGGAAGCGAGCTAGAAGGATCAACGACTTTTGGGACTTCAAGTGGGGGGGGTAAGGAGGTTCAGGCTCAGGTTCTTGGTTTAGCAGCTTTTTTCGGTGAAAGGCGCGGCATCTCTTCGAGGAGGAACTTGGTGTCGTTGTTTTGGGTCGCGCCCTTCAGGTTCGGGCCTCGAGGTTGGAAGTTTCGGGTTCCAGGATCAGTGAGCAGTAACAGGTGGGAGTTTCCGAAACTTAGGGGTACCTGACTTTGGGGGTCCTTATAATAAGGATCCTACTATTTAGGGTACCTATGGTAGGGTCCCGCATGTTCGGAAATTCCCAGGTAAGGGCATCTTTATCGTTGGCCGCCGGTGTCACTAGGCCCGAAGAGACAAGGCCCTTTCTCGGAGCCCTAAAGCGTTTCTGGCTGATGCTTCCGAGGCACCCCGGCTCCATCAGATGGCCGGTGCGGGCCCCAAGATCTTCGGGTCGAAGATACACCCGGGACCCTAAGCTTCACCAGTCCTCCGGGGCCTCAAGATCGAACTCCTGAGCCTCAACCCTCCGTTTGAGTGGAGCTGCGCGAGGAGGGCCCTTTGGAAGTTCTGGCTGGATGAGTCTCCTCGCTCGAAGTGAGAGGTTCTGCAGAACACGATATCTTGGTTCACTAAGAAGAGGGTGTGTAGTGGAGTGCACAAAACCTGAAGCCTTGAACCCTCCGCGAATACACCCCAATTCCCAAACTGGAGCCCAGACACCCAAAACCCTGAAGGTTAAAGTTAAACCCGAAGCCTCCGCAGCTTTCCAGGAGGTCACCGGTGCCCTCTCAGGTGGGCCTCTAGATCAGCAGAGTCGGGTGTTGGAAGCTGGGGTTGTGGGAAGAGCGGGGTGCTTCGAGCAGAAGAACCCCTCAGCTTCGCGATCTCGAGCCGCAAGTTAGGATCCCGACAGACAATAGATGGAGCACATGAAGGTTCAGGTATGCTTATACAACAGACAAGTCATGTTATCATTCTATTCTATACGTCAGGCCCGACGACAAAGAAGTGATGGAAGCAAGAGATCTGGACACATACAACTGATTGCCGACAACGGTCGCGATTTCGTCTAGGCAGCATACGACACATATCTCAACTTCATACTACCTCTTGCGCTGTATAACAGTATAAAGTACGGTTTGACGGAACTTCCGAAGGTTGTGAACAGTTCCGCGAATTTGTTATCCGGACGGAGAAGGTGATAATGATAGTGATGGTGGTGGTGCTTGTGGCAATGATGTTGTCCACAAGCAAACTAAGTATAGAACTCCGTCGCGCTCCATATGCAAGGCTGCGCCGATGAGGTTGGGCGCTTGTTTGAGTTTTTGGGAGTCGTGTTTTGTTTGAGTAGCACACGGTGTTTCTGCCACAGGGTTCCAGTTATGAGGGCTCCGACCCGGCTCGCTACAATGAGAGCTTTACAGCCTTTTCCGAATCTTCATCCTCCGACTCTGCTTTGCATCTTTAAATTGCTGGTGTCACGTTGCATCAGCTGGTGGTCGGCAGGGTGACGTCGGTGGAGCAGCCTTCAGTCATCCGCAGTGCAGGCTCCACTGCTTCGAGTGAAGGTAGGGACCTCCATGAAGCTGCCGATACGGCTCCTATACTCCATTGTGGCCAGTCGATTGGCGGTTTTGAAGCTGGGCTTTTTCGCCAAGCGTGGCTTCCTTGGGGGGGTAAGGGGGAAGGGGGTAGGGGACTATACTTCCTTAAATAGGCTTCATTAGGTCCTTATTACTGGCATTAAGGCCCCCCTCCCCCCTCCCCCTACCCCCCTAAAAGCCCCTATGATGCAATGTCCTAGCCTTTACTCAACAGGGGCTGCCTCAACAGATCTGAAGAGGGTGCTCCAAATGCGTCAGAGAAGTCTCAGAGGACAATCTGGCAGTGTAGCATCGTATCCCCTTATGGTCCTAGAAGCAACTATGAAACAGTATCATTGCCCCACGAAAGTATAAGGCTGGTAATCATATCCCTCATGGTCCCTACAGTGCTGTTGCAGTCTGCGCGACGGCCCATGAAGCTCCACAAAAAACCGAACAGCCACTCATAAAAAGTCTTTATTCTGGCTGATCCTGCCCACCCTGCGCCTGCAGTTCGCCTTCGGAGTGCGCCGGCTGGGAGCCCGATTCGAGGGGCACCGCCTTTCAAACGAAAGAGTTACCTAATTATCGTAATTGGAGTATATGTGACTATATGACCTGTAGTTGGGTTTGGGGCTTTAAATGTTTTCCAGAACCGCTCAACATTGCTGTGTTATCACGAAATGCGAGTTGCTTTTGCTCCTACCATGATGGGAACCGAAAAAGAGGGTTTGATCCGGAGACAGCCTGTCGCAACCGCGTCGTCTGCGATTCCAGGTCGTGAGCCCAGCTCTGGCGAAGGCGCCAGCTGCAAGTGTGCCCCCAGCTAGTTTTGAGTGACATAGGCTCAAGAAGGCGCCCCAAGCTACAGGGATGCGTCCTCAACCCAATTGTCAAAGACGCACACCTCAGCATGCAACAGTGGCAATGATGCCTGACCGTGAACTTCTCAATCAAACCTCAGAGGATGCTGCGAGATCTGCGAAAACTTTAAAGGAAAGAGTTTGCATTTGAACGAACAGAGACCCTGAGTAATTCAAGCAGGACGAGAGCAAGACTGTGAATACTTGACTTGAGACAAGACAACAGGTGAGGTGGAGTAGATTAACAGAATTGCTCAGAACTGCTCGTTTTCCGAAACTGGTCTGCTCCTCTGGGGAAGCTTATACACTTATGCGATACTTTCCATTGGCTTCGGGAAGGTCGCAGGGGCGATGTGGGGATTTCGACTTCGTGCGGCAGACTTCTTGGTCTGGCCATGATAGGGTAGCAAACTTAGGCTCAGTGTAGTTTAGATCCCTAGAATTCCAAGCCCTCAGTTTGTTCCGACGATTTTTCTCATGTCCGGAGCCCTTCACAGGAGCCCACTGGGCCGACTGTGTCAGAGCCATCTCTGGTGACGACGAAACCCCTGGAGGCCCCTCAGCTCGGGGCTTTGGTTTTCAGGGTTCCTTGCGATGTAGAAAAAACGACGAAGCAGCATGATCTCGACTCCACCAGGGCTAATGGGATCCTATCGAAGCCCCAGCTGCGAAAGCCAGCAGCCCTGAAACAGCTGCGTACTTCAGAGACACGGAGTCACAAGTCCTAAGCCCGAAATTTTCTTGCTTCAAGTCTACACGTCACACTCGCTCCCGAAGACGAAGCCCAAACCCCTGCAGTCCAAGCCTTGCCGAGCACGTCAGCGCGTCTCCCTCAGGCGAGCAAGATCCTTGCGTTGCCAACCCCTTGTCGGCAAGGAGGAGCCCTTGCGACGAATTCACGGGCCGAAGGGATCGAAGAAAGTGGGAAAGCGACCTCCGGGTCGAACTGTCAGTTTCAAGAGCTAACACAGGGTCCAAGATGAGAAGATGAGCACGTAGAAGACCAGACCCCGCAGGAGTAATCGCAAGTAGTCGCTCTTATGGTATCGACTACAAACTCTCTTGGTCGGCCTTTCCAGGACGTGCGCGCAGCAAGGACAAGGCACGGATCGGTGAGACGGGGGGCTTTTTCAGCGAAGTAGGGGAGCCAAAACAACCGGGAAGGATGCAGCATCAACTTATCACGACTTGCAGGAGAAGCGGCGATGCTCACGTGCGATCCCTACTTGCAGTGTGACGTCTGAGAAGATTCCTCAATCACTGAAGCTGATATTCTCAAGACACATGAGTGCATCCCCTAGAGAACCACGGCCTGCAACGACCTTCATCAGGTCTCATGGGCCTTGGCATGTTTAGGGTAGCAGAGGATGCGGAATTGAACCACACATGCGTGCGAGCACATTTGTCGAGGCTGTGGTTTCGAGGAGGCCATCGATAAAGGCTGCCGCGGTTGGGACCGCCAGTTGTGAAACCCAAGCCTAACACCCAAGCCCGAATGCACCTGATCAATCGGAACAACTCCACAGTACAGCGCTTCGCGAAAGAACATGCAGCGCACCTTCATGACATAAACATTGCAACAATGATTAATCACAATAAGAAGGGCAATATTCCTCGTAGCAATACTGACCCTCTGCTTCGCTCTTGCTGCCAGGCTGCTGCACGCCGTCGGCCTGAGACCTGTGCAGTCAAAGAATCTCTGGTCGGAGGCATCTGTGGTAGCCCCAGAAGGACTCCAGCCCAAGATTTCATGCACTTTTTTTGCAGGGAGCCAGGCTCCTCTTGGGAGCTCAACATAACGGCTGGTGTCCGTGCCTTCAGCGCCTGTGCGCTCGAGTGAATTGCATGGCCAGCGGCCCCCTTCGGGCTGTGGCAATTCGCGATTTCCCATGGCAGGTTCCGTTTAGGCCGCAAGATCGTTGCCAAGCCCGATGTGTACCACTCTGATAGACACATCTCTCGTCTACCACTTCTCGGACAAATTCGATCGGCCTTGTCGGCAATACAAATGGGACCTGCCTGTTAATTCACTGATAGGCGCTGCCCTTGAAGCCCAGCCGGCTCTGGCGCAGTACGATGCACCATCGAGGGCTTGGGCTTCTCGGAGCACAGCTCAAAATTCGGTGCGGGCTAAGGCGGAGTGTAGCTATTCTTTAATCTGAACTCGTTTGGAGAACTGTTTTCATCATTGCATCCTTTTTCCGCTCATCCCTCTAATCCTCGAGTCCTCAGCAAGTCTCAGGAGGCAATGTCTCTGCATTGCAGTGACTGAGCGACGCTGACGCCCGAAAAGCGAAGCGTCAAGGACATTCAAGGACTCGACTTCGATGTAAGGGTCTGGTGGAATCAGGGTCTCGGGTTCGAGGGTTCACTTTTTCCCGTACCAGGGAGTCATGGGGGCTGGCAATGCAGATGCCCGCTGTGCAGTGAAAGTGCATCGTCAGCCGCTGCTGCTTCAGCGAACGCATGAACAGCATGAGCCACGTATGCCAGAATCGTCAGTCCTGCTTTTATTTTCGCCCCCTCCTGAACAAGCAGAGTCTTAACTTTCCTCTGGCCCTCTGCCTGAATAGCCCAGCAGTAGTCTAAGCCAAGAGTTTCGGTTCGAAAGACCTTTGCCAAAAGAGCAGAAGCTAAGGGCTTTCGGATAGCTCCATTCGTTGCTCTTCGTCCTGATAACACAGAGGGGAGTGGTCAACGAGAGCAGCGGAGAACCAGCGCAGAATATCGAGAGCAGCAGAGGGAAGTATACACAAAGTTCCGTGCCCCCTCTATTTCCAGCTAACTGAGCAGCCCATGCCAGTCGTTCGCTGCTGAACCGAGCGCCGTAGGCCAAGATGGATAGCGACGCCGTGACCGGGTGCGGGCCTTTCTTGTCTCCGGAAGTCTTCCACACGTTTCCTTACATTTTATGATCGACGATCGACTTAAACTTAACGTTGTTGTATCTTATACTTTATACGATACTTCAGATTATATTGAAAATGATAGTTGAAAGGCTGCAGGGCCACAGACTGGACTGCGAACCCTTCAGTGGCGACGGAGATCGCACATAGCGCCAGGTTCTTCTTCGTGGTCCTCGTGCTAGCGTCCGGGGCTCGAAAGGTTGTTTTTCAGCGCTTGATCTCCCAATCCGAGAGCTTTAACTTCGTTACCTTGGACTGCCTTTCCGTCGCTATTGCTGGCTGTAAGTTTGTTGCTTAGCTCCAGGTATTTTCCAGTCCACAGATAGCACTTGCTATGGACGCCATGGACGTGATCTCCGCCAGCACAGATAGCGCGGAGTTTGCAAATTCAACAAGCCAGAACTTCCAGGAAGACGAAGGTTTTGCAATGCTCAAGAGACGGCTCTCACGTGAGTCCTTCCGCATAGCAAAATCACTCAGCCAGGATTTCCAGGAAGACGAAGACGAAGACGACGAAGACAAGGAGTTTGCAATGCTCAAGAAACGCCTCTCGCGTGAATCTCTCCACAGCACAGATGTGGAGAGCGATGAGTTGGCAAATTCAGTCAGCCCGGATTTCCAGGAAGACAAAGAAGCCCGCGAGTTGACACTGCTGAAGCGACGGCTCTCACATGAAGCCTTGCGCAGCACGGAAGTGGAGGTGCCAGCTCCCAAGAAGGCCCGGTCCGAGGTCGACGAGGTCAACGCGAAGCTCAAGGCAACGAGCGAAGACTTGGCACTTGCCATCAGCCAGGATTTGGCGGGACACACGACTCAGGGGGCTCATGGCATGAACTATCACCACAAGAGCCCTGGTGATCAAGGCACGACCTTCTTCATGCCCATGAAGTCTTTGCTCGGTGAAGGTGCCCTTGCTGGTGCCGTTCAGCAGATCAAAGCACTGGGGCACAAGAAGGCGCTGATCGTCACGGACGCCATCTTGGTCAAGGTTGGCGCTGTGAAGGCAGCCACGGATGTGCTTACTCAGGCGGGCATCGCTTTCGCCATCTACGATGGCTGTCAGCCGAATCCAACCGTAGGCCAGGTGGAAGACGGTTTGGAGATGGTGAAGAGCGAAAAGTGTGACTTTGTCCTTTCATTTGGTGGCGGATCCCCGCATGATTGTGCAAAAGCCATTGCTATCACGGCCACAAATGGCGGAGACATTCGTGCAATGGAGGGCGTTGACAAAAGCACCAAGCCCATGATGACCATGGTGGCGGTGAACACCACAGCTGGCACTGCCGCCGAGATGACACGCTTCTGCATCATTACGGATGAGGTGCGGCATGTGAAGATGGCCATCGTGGATTGGCGAATTACGCCTACCTTGGCTGTGAACGATCCAACGACCATGGTAGGTATGCCCAAGTCTTTGACTGCAGCTACCGGAATGGATGCTCTCACCCACGCCATTGAAGCGTACGTAAGCACGATCTCGAACCCAGTGACCGATGCAAGCGCGCTCCATGCCATGAAGCTCATCAGCACTTACCTGCCCACCGCGGTGGAGGACGGGAAGAACATGAAGGCCCGTGACATGATGGCATATGCAGAGTTCCTCGCTGGCATGGCCTTCAATTCAGCTAGCCTTGGCTACGTTCATGCCATGGCTCACCAGCTGGGTGGCATGTACAACTTGCCGCACGGCGTTTGCAACGCCATCTTGTTGGGTCCCGTGCAGCAGTACAACGCCAAGTATGTGCCGCATCTCTTCATCGACATCGCCATCGCCTTGGGCTTCACGGATGTCGGGGAAGACCAGGATCTTGCTGTCAAGAAAGTGCTGAAGGCCATCAGATACTTGAAGAATAGGGTTGGCATCCCCAAGAATCTGAAGGCATTCAAGGAGGTGAAGGTGGAACATTTTCCCGTCTTAGCTGACAACGCAATGAAGGACGCTTGTGGTTTGACAAATCCGCATCAGCCGACCAAAGAAGAGGTCATTGCATTGTTCCAAGCTGCCTATGACCAGGAAGATGAAGACACCCAAGAGCTTGCCGTTATCCAGGAAGACAAAGAAGCGGATGAGTTTGCAAAGCTTAAGAAGCAGCTGTCACATGAATCCTTTCGCAGCAAGGACAAGGGGTCTTTGCCGACGCTGCTGCAAGCTAGGCGCTGCTCTGTGTAACGCGAGCTTTCACGCTAATTTGCATGTGGCTGATTTGCATGTTTGACATGTTTGCTTCGGTGAAGCGGGGGAAGCGCATCCTTAAAAAGGAATGGCACGCGCCCTTGAAGCACATGTTTGGCCTGTTGGCAGGCTCGCAGTGTACAGCTCCCAGTGTACGTCTGACAAAAGCAGATGACGGCTGGGCGTAAGCAGTGCGCACCAGCATAATCAGCACAATATGGGGGCCTTAATAGCTGGTACTGGTACTAGTATCTGTCTCCCCTTATAGCCTCTTCTTCCTTTTTTGCACAAAATGTCCTCAAGCCCTCTTGACAGTATTAAGGCCCCTGTACAATATTCCATGCCTCTTGGCGGGACGGTTGCCGAATTGACGACTAATCGCTCAAGCTGAGTTGCTTGGTCCGAAAAGCAAACGTATCAGCCTTCAATCCGATATGGATCCTGAACTCTCAACCCAAAACCCACCCCATAAAGCCTAATCTTGAAGTCCTAGGCCCTAGAACCCATCCTAGCATTTAGGGTTTATAGGGCTTATTGGGTGTATATACTGTATATGGTTGATGCGGTAGGGCTTAGGGCACAGGGATTTTTAGGTTTAGGGGAATTCCGAATTGGGAAAACCTAGGCCCTAGGCTTGAAGCACAAGTTCGAGAGCCGGATGTTGGGACCGCCAGTTGTGAAACCCAAGCCTAACACCCAAGCCCGAATGCACCTGATCAATCGAAACAACTCCACAGTACAGCGCTTCGTGAAAGAACATGCAGCGCACCTTCATGTCAGAAACATTGCAACAATGATTAATCACAATACGAAGGGCAATAATCCTCGTAGCAATACTGGCCCTCTACTTCTCTCTTGCTGCCAGGCTGCTGCACGCCGTCGGCCTGAGACCTGTGCAGTCAAAGAATCTCTGGTCGGAGGCATCTGTGGTAGCCCCAGAAGGACTCCAGCCCAAGATTTCATGCACTTTTTTTGCAGGGAGCCAGGCTCCTCTTGGGAGCTCAACATAACGGCTGGTGTCCGTGCCTTCAGCGCCTGTGCGCTAGAGTGAATTGCATGGCCAGCGGCCCCCTTCGGGCTGTGGCAATTCGCGATTTCCCATGGCAGGTTCCGTTTAGGCCGCAAGATCGTTGCCAAGCCCGATGTGTACCACTCTGATAGACACGTCTCTCGTCTACCACTTCTCGGACAAACTCGATCGGCCTTGAGATAAAGCCAAAGCCTCGTAGTTCAGGCTTTAAGATTCAGGCTGTCGGCAATACGAATGGGACCTGCCTATTAATTCAGTGATAGGCGCTGCCCTTGAAGCCCAGCCGGCTCTGGCGCAGTACGATGCACCATCGAGGGCTTGGGCTTCTCGGAGCACAGCTCAAAATTCGGTGCGGGCTAGGGCGGAGTGTAGCTATTCTTTAATCTGAACTCGTTTGGAGAATTGTTCTCATCAATGCATCCTTTTTCCGCTCATCCCTCTAATCCTCGAGTCCTCAGCAAGTCTCAGGAGGCAATGTCTCTGCATTGCAGTGACTGAGCGACGCTGATGCCCGAAAAGCGAAGCGTCAAGGACATTCAAGGACTCGACTTCGATGTAAGGGTCTGGT